GTTTGGAGAGATTGAAAGTTATAAAATATTTAGTAAGGAAAGTTGAAACTTATAAAATAATTAGGCGGGATGAAGCGAATAATTCGTTAAACGAATTTGAAACTTATGAAATTATTCTATGGGTGTGTTTGAAAGTTATAAAATATTTCGTAAGGTGAGTTAAAATTATTCGTTAGTCGGGGGTTGAAGCAAATAATTCGTTAAGCGAATTTGAAAATTATAACATTATATAATTATTCGTTGGGAGAGACTGAACGTTATAAAATAATTTGTTTAATTATTTTTTTTAATAATTTCACCCCAAACAAGACAAGAGAGCCGATAAAACTCTTTGGTTTACCGAATATGAAAGAATACGAGAAAAACAAAATCATTATTAAGAATGTCGTAACCTAGGGAAGGTTACTGAATAGAATAGTCATATGAAGGTTGGTAATGAACGATAATACTTAGGACAAGAACAACGCATATAAGATTCGCCAGCGGCGCGCAGAAGAAGTAGTAAACTGCTAGAAGTGAGTCAAGTGAATTCCACAATGAATCTCCAACTGCAGGATATTTACCAAGCGCCCCACGCGGTCAGATGTGGCACAAGACTGAATTTAATGTGGGGTATCCGAGCCCGTAGGTTCGGCCAAAAATTCCCCGTATACCCCTATAAAACGGGGTCGGGTAGCTGTTTCCCGAGACGAGACTCAGTACTTCGACATAGCCTCGCTGTGGATCCTCTCTACCCAGTTTGCATTTAAACTTTTGAAGATCTGGGAAACAAGAAGCCGGAAGATAGTTCCACATGCGATAAGTGCGAGAAAAGGAACTGTTAGTATAGAACATACATCTAGCAATTTCAACTATAAAATGATGAGACCTATCTTCCAATCTAGTACTTCTACTAGATTTTAGTGAAAGAAGTGATACTAATTAACCCATAGCTGGGGGAAAGAAGAAGCAGATTTATATATTTCCCAATGGTATTTGTACATAAATGAATATAATGAACCACACTGGAACTGAAACTCGGCTCACCGATTAACAATTCCGCGCCTTTTTCCATTACACCATCCGCACATCAAAACTTACAGCATCTAGTATTCCTAAGCGGTCACTCATCTAGGTACAGACCAAATTCGACGTTGCTTAACTTCTGTAATCATACGGGAACTGGCGTTTCAACGAGATATGGTCGTAAGCCAAAAGGAAGGTTTACATTGGCGGATGGTAGTTCATCTTTAGAGATGAGGCGTGTAATGCTAATAAATGCAACAACACACCAAATGGATGGATGAAATACTTCTAAAATTAGTTAAAGAATATAAAACACGCATTTTTTTAAATCGGTATCACCCCATACAAGGCAATAAAGCCACTAAGACGCAAGGGGTTACAGGATGTGGAAGAATGAAGAACAGAAACATTAATAATGAGCGGGGAAAAGGAAATATTATTTAGGAGAGCAGTAGATAGTGATTGACATTGCAGTTAAAATTTTGCAGATTAAAATTGGCTGGAAAGCAGTGAGCCCGGAAGGGGTTCCACAAGCGAGAAGTGCGAAAGAAGAAACTGTTATCATTACAGCTACATCGAGCCAGATCAAATTTAAATTGATGAGGCTTCATTGCCAGTCTAGTACTGTGCTTATATTCAAAAAGTCTAAGTACCATAGCGAAAAGCTCACCTGAACAATTACCATGAAAGTATTTATAGAAAAGGCACAGGGAGGCAACCTTACGGTAATGGGAAAGTGACTGTAACTAAGCCGCCAGATCAGGACCAATAATATTGCAGATTCTTCTTTGCATCTTATCGAGGAGCTTCAGGTAAATAGCAGGAACACCTGGCCATATGTGGCAGCAATATTCTAAGCATGGATGAATGGTAGACTTATGGATATGTAAGATAGATTCTGGAGAGAAAAATTGTCTCGCACAACACAGTGAACCTACTTTCTTAGCAGGTGACCTAGCAATGGATTCAATATAGTTTTTCTTCTTCATGTCAGCCGAGAACGTTAGCCTAAAAAGGCGCAACGAATCACTTTTCTGGGGGTTAGCATCAGCCATATCGATGGAATGTAGAGAGGGGTCTCCCAGATTGATTAATGGAGAGAAGTTTTCATATTAATGCCATAATACGCCATGTCAGGCCGATAACAATACGGATTCTTTTGGAGATTTGGTCAAGTCTTTGTATATATATAACTTACTTATTATAAAACCCAGGTTGTGTGTGTGTGTGTGTGTGTGTGTGTGTGTGGCTGTGTGTGTGTGTTCGTTTATATATTGGATCGGATTTCCTACATTTTTCAACCGATTTCAACAAAACTTCACAGGGCTACGTAAAATTACCTTGCAGTAGTTCTGGCAGCGCCAAAAATTGGAAAAACAATTGTTTTTGCACGAAATCAATTTGAAAACACGATTAAGAGGCATCATTGTCATCAGAATGAAAGGGAGACAACTCATATTGAGTTATACTTATTATAAAACCCAGGTTTGTGTGTGTGTGTGTGTGTGTGTGTGTGTGTGTGTGTGTGTGTGTGTGTGTGTGTGTGTTCGTTCGTTTATATATGGGATCGGATTTCCTACATTTTTCAACCGATATCAACAAAACTTCACTTTTTTTTGGCAGGTAGTGTTTCTTATTGTCTTGCACACTTTTTTCTTTATTTTTACATTCAGAATGCTTTAAAAATACCATTTACAAGACAATTGTTTATAATAAAATTCTATTCAATCGGTAGACTCAACGATTGAAAACAATGTTCTTGTTTGAGTTTGGGTTTGACCAATTCGTAAAAAAAAAACTAATTAAGACATGCGTGTCCGTCAACCTTAAACAATAATCTTTGTCAATTTTATTTTTCAGTCTTTATGATGGTCGATACTTGATCTATCTCTTACTGTTACATCCTCAGGCAACGCCAGGCTCTACTGCTAGTATATATATATATATATATATATATATATATATATATATATATATATATATATATCAAACACCAAACTAAATGTACCAGCAATATTCAATAGGCAGACGAATAGTAGACTAATAAATAATGTAAGATAGATTTTAGTGAGAAAGATTGCCTAGCACGACTTTTTTTCAGTTTGTTCTTTAAAATATTTGTTTTTGTTAAATGTGCGTACTTTTTGAATATATTTGATTTAATTTCAACCTGATGTTTCTAGGTTTTTCCCGAATGGCCTTCTTCATATAAAATTTGGAAAATGCAGTAAAATTCATAAAATTGTTACCACGTCGAAACAGTGGAATGTCGTCTGCTATAATTCCTTCATATTATGGGAAATATCAAACACATTAAAAAGTGCAAATATTTTCATGAATATGTTCATTAGTTAATGAGTCGCAGTGGAGTTTTCAGAACAAAATCTAACCTTTTTCTTCTTTCTTTAATGCCGCTCTTTCTTTGTTTCTCTCTTTCTTTCATGCATTCTTTCTTTTCCCTTTCTTTCTCTCCGTTCTTTCTTTCATGCCGTTCTTTCTCTTTTAATTTCATGCATTCTTTCTTTCTTTCTTTCTTTCTTTCTTTCTTTCACTTTCTTAATTTTTTCTCTGTCCTCCTTTCTTTCTTTCTTTTATCATTCATTCTTTCTTTCTTTTTTCTTTCTTTTTTCCTTCTTTCTATATTCCTATCTTACTTTCTTAATTTTTCTCTGTTCTCTTTTCTTCCTTCCTTTCTTTCCTGCTTTCCTTTCTTTCTTTCTTTCTTTCTTTCTTTCTTTCTTTCTTTCTTTCTTTCTTTCTTTCTTTCTTTCTCACCTCACCTCATTTCTGTATTGCACCTGTCAACCCCTGAATTCTTATAGAAAATTCAAACACCTCAACTCCTACCAACATTCTCACCTGATTGAAACGCGCCAACTAAAGAGCCTATCATAGCGTCATCACATTTCGTCATCTCCGTTCGTCGCCTTTCTCCGATCGTCTGCCTTTTGAATCGTGCAGCCGATCCCTAAAAACAGTTCAGTCTTTATATTTTCTTTCTGCAGGCATTGTCTGCTTATATACTTGATCAGAACCGATAGACAAAAGATTAATATTTCTTTTAATTTTCAGAATTCTTTTATGGCACAATAATTGTACAATTCTGATATGGCAAATCAAGCAGACAACAAAATTATGTTAATAATTTCAAATTTTGGATAAAGCTGATGGTTGCATTTATCTTACACTAGCAGCCATACCCAGCAGGTCGTTCAGAAAAAGCTTTCAATTAGAATGGAGCAAAAACAGCATCATGTTTAGATATAACAGAGTCTATTTTCTTCAATTACTTTAAAGTACTTTCATTAAAAGACATTTTGAATTAATGCAGTTACTGATATAACAGAAGTAGTCTGTATTTATTTAATCAAAGTTAGCCGAGGACATGAAAAAGTAAAACAGGTAACATGAAGACCCACTTCAGACCAAATTATTTTGGAGTTTTTGAAATTCAGTTTGTGAGTGTAAAACAAGTGATGTAAAAGCGGATACATTTATAAAGGAATTGTTAAGTTTGATAAAAATTGGTTGAAAGGTCAACAAAAAATAAGAAAGAAACCAGTAAAAGTCGCCATTTTTCGCTATTTACGCGGGTTTTCATTATATGGGTGGACTCAATTATCAAGTTAAATGACTTTAAAACAATTAACTTATAGTTGGCTACAACTGAGTGAAGTTTTATTAGATTGGATGAAAACTGAGGGAGTTTTTAGTTTTAAATTTGCGCTGAAATCGATTTTTCGTTTATCGCGGTTTTCGCTAAACGTAATGGCATAGAAATAAAAATGAGGTATCGTTGAGCTCGTCATGATGTAAGTAACCTCGCTACCGAGTTTGAACGAAATCGGAGTTTGAATTTATCGATTATTGATCGGCTTTATCGATTATTGATTTTTTAAATTATCGATTTTTTACGCTAAGAACCTATTTCTTACATTGTACAATGTATGTGCCAAGTTTCGTCAAAATCAGTTAGATGGATCTCGAGTGAAAAGGTATCACACAGACAGACAGACATCCTCTGTTTATATATATATATATATATATATATATATATATATATATATATAAACAACTTTAAGACAAGCCTGATTTTTTTTACTAAATTTTTACCCAATACAAAATCGAGGAGCCACTTAAGGCAGAGTTATTGAGGACTTAAGAGGAGGTAAGCGCATATTATGAGAATGTGTAGGATAAGTAAGACTTGACCTTAGACTTGAAAGGGTTAAGATTATAATGATCGGGGAAGCATCCTCCCAGGAGTCTGTTCTACAATGGGTCAATGGAACATCTTTCTTACTAATGGAATACGAAAGAAATCTATTGGCATTAACTTCCATAGCAATATCATTTGATAAACGATCAAAACTTATCCTAAAATGCAGAAACTGAAACAATTTTTTTACTGCTGCTTGCATATACAGGGGGCTGCAGCAAAATCCGACACTTGAGAAAGATAAAACGAAATAGGCAATAAAAAAACAAAAGTTGTATATGCAGATACCCTACAGTTTGACAACTAACTAACGTGTGTCTCTCTACCCTTTTCCGGGATGGAATATGAGCGCAGAGCAGCGGTAATAGCTTCTTTGCTCGTCGGGAAGAAGCCTGCGCAAGTGATGACCTGGTTTGGGTTCAAGATGACCATGGTCATGGACATTTGGAGGAAGTGGAAGACGTACGAGAACAAGGACGAGTTTACTGCCAAACGAAAGGCCCACAACATTCGTTCTTTGGCCGTTGGGACAGACGAGTTCGTCGCCGCCGTCAAGGAGACAGTCGACAATGATGGAAGCCAGAGCTACGTCAAGATCGCCGCTGACATGGGCTGTCACAAGTCGACGATCTGTCGAACGATCAAAAAGGACATAGTTACCCCTCCTACTGCAAGTCTCACGGCATGCTCATCACGAATGCCTCCAAGGAGACGAGGAAGGTCAAGGCGGCGGCTTTGCTGAACGAGCTCAATCACGGGTCCGCCGGGATGCTGAGGTTCTCCTCTGATGAAAAGAATTTCATCCAGGACCAGACAGGCAAACAGGCAAAAGGACAGGTGGATCTACAAAAACATTGAGGAGGTTCCCGTCGTGAAGCATACGAAGATTTCCTCCTCCGTCATGGTACTTGGCGTCATATCCAGCGATGAGGGCGTTATGCTTCCGTTCTTCTTTCAAAAAGGCCTGAGAGTCACCCCTGAGATCTACCAGGAGGTGCTGAGGAGCGTGGTGAATCCCTGGATGGACGAGATCACCACCGGACGCCCCTATGTCTTCCAGCAGGAATCCGCTCCTGCACACAAGGCCAAGACGACCCAGGCGTGTCTGCTCAACAATGTTCCTCACCACTGGTCGCCGGATTTGTGTCCGCCCTCCTCACCCGACTGTATGCCCCTTGATTATTTCTTCTGGGGTCGTGATCGAGGCCAAGACCAACAAGAACGCCCACAACACGGTCGACTCTCTGAAGGCTGCCATCGGGGAGATGTTCGCCGCTATGGACAAGAACATGGCCGCCAAACTGTGTGATTCATTTCTCGCCTGCCCTGAGATAATCGTCGCCGCTGCCGGCTGTTACATTGAAAAATAATATAGTATATAACTCTAACTGTTGCTAAATAAACTGTCGGGTCTCTGCATATACAACTTTTATTTTTATTGCCTATTTTTTCTTTTTGTCAAATGTCGGATTTTGCAGCAACACCCTGTATAAATTGTCGAGCTGAAACGTAAATATAGAGGGTTTAAACATAAAACAAACTGTCGTCGCTTAGTTTCGACCTGGATGTGTTCACTTTTATATTTATATAAAGTCTATCTGATATTGAACATTCTACCCATAAATATGGCAGACCTTAAGACTGTATTGTTATCATATATTTATATATAAAGGGTGTTCCAATAACTTGGACTGATTTTAAATGTGAATTAAGTTTAAGCGTCTAATGATTTTTTTTCTTTTTCTTTCAGATTTGGCGGACATTTGGACGATATTATTTTTCACACATAATTGCCATGCCTTAAATAACAGGATCCAATAGAGAAATAAATAAATTTTTACCAATAACACTGATTTATTTACTGCTGAATTTGATCCGTCTTAATGAAACACCCTTATATATATATATAACCTGTCTTAATGAAACACCCATTATATATATATTATACTCGTCTGGAAAAACCTTAGGTGTTTTGGCTTGTAAATGAACAAACCAACACCCAAGTTAATTCAGTCGAAAACAATCGTCCAGAATCCAAGCTCAGTGTCCAAAGAAAAAAAAAACCTCCAAAAAGCAAAAAGCAAAAGTAACTAAGTAAAGTTCTCAATACACTAAGGAGAGAAAATCTAACTATGAACCTAAAGAGCCAGGAAAATATATATATATATATATATATATATATCTAAAATAAGGCTATCATCTACATATCTGAGGTAGATGGAGGGTTCTTGATGGTGCCAAATATATTATTTTCTAGGTTGGCCATGTAGAAGTTGCTGAAGATTGAACCTAGAACTGAACCCATAGAAACAGCATCACGTTGCACATATACGTTCTTTCTATATATGTCAATGGTTCCTCTAACTGGATCGTTAGTGAACAGATTTTTAACGTCAAGTTAGAGAAACCATTGACATTATTATTAAAAATATATGTTATAATTCATCTCTGCCCTCATTAAAAATTAAACCTAAAATACTAAGAAAATTACTTTTCACCTGTACCACTGAAGTCTCATTCTATGGTCACAGAAATAATTTTTTTTTATTTACTCTAGGTAATTTACAAACATTGTGTAAGCGTTCTGAAATCAAAAGAAATGTTTGTCACAGATTAATTCCACAACGCAGAGAATAAATCACTGTAAGTTCAGAGTTGAATATCAGGGGCAGAAAGAAATGCCGAAAACTCAATTCGAAGGTACTCTCTCACAAATCCCAATGCATGTAACCAGTCAGAAAAATAACTCACTATCCGACGAATGCGGTAGTCAGTTTTTCCCATCGATTCGAGAACACCAACTGCTTTTATCGAGATGAGGTATTATGTAGAGTATTTACATTAGTCGGACTATTGTTCTCATCTTTGTCGCCCATCGCCATTCGAACCGTGTACGCTCAGTTTTCAGGCCAGCGGTTGTAGAAAGTCTAACCTTCTGAAGAAATAAAGTTGGAAACGTTCGAAACGTTGAACAAATATGGCGACAAAGATGAAAAAAAGTCCGACTAATGTAAATACTCTTTTATCGGTCACATTTTTCCATTCGTCGACAGCTGGGAGACAAAGATAAAAAATACAACCTGATAAACATAATTGTTTTTAACCATATTCTTGGATGTCATGCGAATATTTTTTTTTTTTTAATAATTTTCTTTTCCGTCGTAGGATACACGACGCGCTGTCGCTTGGTTTGACAAGAAGTCGCCATTTTCTTCGATTTTATCTCATTATCACAAATGGAGCAGCTTGGAACAATCCTGGTTAGCTTCGTCGTAATGGAATATCTCTCTTACGCGTGTCGGAGAGTCATCTCCTGAGGAATCAGACGGATGTAGAGATTCTGGAAAAAAGCATCAGATTCATGATCTCAATTATCCGATCTACTGTCAGACGATGAACCATCATCTAGGCGATTATCAGAATCAACAAAAGGCGAAATCTTTTTACATGCCATAGCATCCGTCGACTATTATTGTTTGTAGACTCACAATGTCCGTCATTACATTGATGATTGTTGTATGTGATCATCTCAGCCATTATTACCAAGCTGTAGATTAGAGCAATTACATAACATTCGAGTTAAGACAAAACGATTATTGATGTTAATAGTAACAGGAGATATAAACTGGCCTCAGCGGATATAGTTTAGACGTGTCTGTTTTATCCCCTGCCGATGTATGAAGTAGGCTAGGCCCAATTATAACTCGAGGATTATACTGAACTGGGTTAAACTTTAAAAATGTTCTCGAAGAATGTCAACATGGAATTCTACAGAGGTTTTCTATAAAGAAAAACAATATGACAAATGTATATTTTAATTGGAGCGATATTCTAGCAGAACAGCTAAAAGATATTCTTTTAAGTTCTTTGTAATTTTGAAATAATATCAATTCAGTAAATTTGGGAAACTGAAAGATTGTATAAAGACATTCAGTTGTAAGCATATACTACTACCCTAACCTAGCTTTTCGCCAAATTTACATCTCCATTCTTTTCGCTTCGTTGTGCCCCAAAACTGGGAAAGGTCTGCTGCACATTCACAAGGAAACAAAAGATAAAAACAACATGATAAAAATTTGATGCCATCTTGGATGACGCAATATTTTTCAATATTATTAGTGTAGCACGAATGAGAAGAAGATCCGATTTTAGGAAGGATGTAACAACGCTAATAGTAAAAGGAAATACGGAGGTAGGCTGAAAAGTTCATAGGCTGACTATAAAGGAATTATGCTAGTTGTGAAATCTTTCATGCATTAATTTCAACTCTACTTATTAATAACTGCATTGTTTCTTTTCAGATAAATTGGTATCTGACTGTTCAAAGAAAACTTCAAATGTAACTAGTAGCAACTTCTCTTGAAAATGGACAAAATTTGGCATCGTGGTGTTATCAAGTAGTTAGGCGAAGCCCGTTCATCTATCTCATTCAGTTCATATCTATCTATCTATCTATCTATTGGACTCAGGCTGTTCATATCTATCTCTCATATTGTTTATATCTATCTATCTATCTATCTATCTATCTATCTATCTATCTATCTAAATCTGTTTATGTCTACGTATCTGTCTATCTATTTAAATCTGTTTTTATCTGTCACAATCTGCGCATATCTATCTCTCATTCGTATCTATCTATTTATCTATCTATCTATCTATCTATCTATCTATCTATCTAAATCTGTTCATATCTATCTATCTATCTATCTATCTAAATCTGTTTTTATCTGTCACAATCTGTGCATATTTATCTCTCATTCGTATCTATCTATCTAAATCTGTTCATATCTATCTATCTATCTATCTATCTATCTATCTATCTATCTATCTATCTAAATCTGTTCATATCTATCTGCCTCTTTTTATATTTTAATTGAAGTGATATTCTATCAAAGTAGCTTAAAGATATTCCTGTAAGTTCTTTGTAATTTGGAAATGATGTCAATTCAGTAAATTTGGGAAATTCAAAGATCGTATGTAGACATTTAGTTCTAAGCATATATTGCTGCCCTCACCTTGTTCTAGAGAATGATCTAGAAGAAAGGTTAATCTGGCCTGCTAGAACGGCTTTCTCTAAAGAAAAAAGAAAATGGCAAATTGCAGAATAGGTGACTAATATGTATAAAGAAAGGCATTGCCTTTGATTTTATTATAGAAATGCAATGATTTTGTCTTTATTATAGAAATGCAATGAAAAGAAGAGATTTACTGACATTTTTTTCTGAAATATTGTACAAATTGAAGACATCTATAAGCAAAAATAACTATCAGAAATTAATTTTCTAACCGCTTCAGGATTGCCTACAGAATTTAAACCTTTAAACCGAATTATATTCAGAAGTTGTAATAAGCTGTAAGAAATTTTCAGATTTAACAAACGAAATTTAACAGAATGTAAAAACTTCAGTCAGTTATGTGCCATGCGTGGTACACACTTACACAATCATGTATCTTTCGATACATGACCGACGAGGCAGATTTTTTCCCGCGGTAGGTTGCCATTTCTTTATACGGTAGACCAGTTGCTATCCAAAGCTAGAGTACCAGGTCTGTCCTGCCATTTACCCATAGCTGGGGAAGAAGAAGAGGATTCACACCTTTTCCAAGGGTATTAGCATGTGAGTGAATGTAATGGATTTGACTGGAATTCGAACTCTGCTCTCCGATTCTACAATCCAAACCGCTATCCATTACCCCACCGTAAACGATAAAACAAAGCCAATTTGATTGTTTTCTTTTTCTTTTCTTTTTTTTTGTTATTTTTTTAAGAAAAAAAAACAAAAAATTGAAAATGAAATGCCAGGAATTAAATTTTCGGAAATAAATGCAATGATTTTTCTTCCAAAGAAAATAACTCCCAGGTTTATCCTGACCCAGAGTGGTAATCTTGTTAGGTTCCCGGCTATGGGCAAATAGTGACCCCCCCCCCAAGCAAAAACAAAAGCCTATCAAATACATCTTTATATTAAAATTACCAACAATACATAATTCTAGCAAAATTACCAACAATAAATTTTATCTGCAATTGAAGCCATAAAATTGTGTTCAAAATATTTACATTTTGGCATCAAATAACCCATAGAGATGTTGATATGCCGCTAAACCAAATCAACAAACTCAAGAAAATAACAAAATTTTCTTTTATTCATCCCTCGTCAGTTTGAATACAGAATGGGTTATAAAAATGGCTTCAAAGGTCCGCACCTTTCGGCTTCTACATCTTTCCACGAAGGCTGTTGTCAAAAAGAGAAACAAATTAGCCCTCGCCACACAAATGTCCAATTCATTCAATTTGTGTATATATACGCAGGGTAGGTGCAAAAGTTTCGTGCTCCCCCTCCCGAATCTATGATATGCCCCCCCTCACCACGAGAAATTAGAAATGGCAGGGTTGACTAGATTCCTTAGCTTTGTATGGCAACCAATATGAGAGAAGGAAAATTCTGAAATCGTAAGCGTGGCAATGAGGAATGATCCCACCATCTTTCCTCAGAAGTCATAGCAATTCTAAAGAATTAAAAAAGAAAAGGAATCTGTGGAGAGCTAAGGGAAATGATAATTTTTATTTTGGAAGCTAAAAACTGCTCATGACTTTCCTTGTCATACTTGAACATCTCTTTGACCCAATCCTAAGCACCGTAAGCGTTGATTTTGAAATTCTTTGCCTGCAAATATTTTTTTTTTCTAATACGATTTATATACACGAACAATTCAGGGAAAATAAATAAAATAAAAAAAAAGCAATTACCGACTCGGATTGCCAAATATGGATTCTTACCTGCAAAAGAAAGAAAATAAGTTTGTAGACATTTTGACATATACTAATGATTACATATAAAATATTAAATATATAAATAATTCTTTCGTTTATTCAGGAAGATATTTTAAATTGATGCTTTCTGCAAACTTGAAATACTTCGGTGTATGGATCTGTTTTACAAATTTAGTCAAAGGAATAATGATACAGGATTGATTAGGTTGAGCTGAAAGTAGTTTTAGCCAACGCTATACAATAGTGGCGGACTGACCCGATGGCAAATGGACGGCTCATGGAGTAAGACCCTATATAAAAACAATTCAATAAAGAAACAAACACAGACAACTGTCTTGCTTGAACTTTATAAAGCCATCTGCACACTATCATTTACTCAAATCCAATGTGAGAGAATATTTTCAAAATTAAAGATCATAAAGACAATGTTAGGGCAATTCGTCTTGGTGTAATTGTTAGCAAGTTTGTCTCGCTAGATCAATATTTGACTAAATTGTAAGTCTGATATTCACTGAGTGCCCCGTACTTTTTTGGCCTTGTGCCACGTCTAAGCTACCCTTAGAAAATCACAATAAAGACAAGGTTAAGAAATTCGCCGACTGAGAAGAATTTGGAATCGTACATGTTGCTATCGATTGAAAAGGAATTCTTAGATGAACTGGATGTAGAATTATTGGCAGATTCGATCATCAGAAAACGATCACTTTTAATATCGTGGCTTGCATACAATGCTTTATTGTGTTTCAAGTCATTTCTCTTGCTTTTCGATATTAGATACCATGGTTTCCGATATTCTTAAGCCCTTTCAAATATTATTCATTTTTGACTAGGATTTCTTGCAAGTCATGAGGTGTAGGTATGTTGTTCAGGGGTAGTACACGGCCCTCCATATACCATTACATAGACCTGCGCCTTGGAGAGGGTCTCTCCAGTTTCACTATAAAGGACCAAATTTTGATCAAACAGAATGCTATATTTATCCCGCGAGATAAAAAGATGCCTACTAAAATAAGAATGCATTGTAAATGATTTTACTATAAAAATGCATTTTAAATGATTTTATAAGAATTCATTGCAAATGATTTTACCATAAGAATTCATTGCAAATGATTTTACAATAAGAATGCATTGCAAATGATTTTACAATAAGAATGAATTGTAAATGACTTTACTACAAGAATGCATTGCAAATGACATTACTATAAGAATGCATTTTAAATGATTTTACTATAAGAATGCATTGCAAATGACATTACTATGAAAATGCATTGTAAATTATTTTACTATAAGAATGCATTGCAGATGATTTTACTATAAGAATGCATTGCAAATGATTTTACTATACGAATGCATTGCAAATGATTTTACTATATGAATGCATTGCAAATAATTTTACTATAAGAATGCATTGCAAATTATTTTACTATACGAATGCATTGTAAATGATTTTGCTATAAGAATGCATTGGAAATAAGCTTACGGCCATATCTGGTTGAAGAACCGGTTTCGGCACGATTACCGAAGTTAATTAGCTTCTAGCCAGGTCAGAACCTGGATAGATAACCGCTTGGGAAGACCAATCGTTGTAAGTTTGGATGGGTAGAGGTTGTGTAATAGATAATGACTCGAAATTTGTAATCGGAAAGTCGAGTTCCAGTTTGGTTCGTTATATTCACCTACGAGCAAATTCCCTTGAGAAGGGGGCCTGAATCCACTTCTTCTCTCTCCTTCTATGGGTTAATTAGTAAGACATATATCCCTAAATCATTATTATCCCCATTCTTACATTCTTCCCGAAGGAAATGTGTATAAAACAGAAATCGAAGAAAAAAAATAATAAAAAGTTTTTGAGAATCTTACTTATTATAAAACGCAGGTTGTGTGTGTGTGTCTGTAACGTTTATATATTGGATCGAATTTTCTACATTTTTTAGCCGATTTCAACAAAACTTCACAGGACTAAATAAAATTACCTTGTGGTGGTTCTAACGGGACCGAAAATGGGAAAAACACAGTTGTTTTTTAAGAAAATCATTTTGAAAACACGATTAAGACACATCGTGAGAATGAAAGGGGACAACTCACCCACGAAAATGGTAAACAAAAGGCCAAAGCAGGATGAAAAAGACGCCGAACTTGACGAAAACAAAATTTTATCGTCTAATGTTCATATTATTATTAAAGAGGAAAGATCAAAGTATTTTGGGGGTATTTTTTTACATTTTTTAATCGTTCCTAGCACGTCTGAAATTTTAGTTAAAAATATTGTTTTTTTTTTGGTCAAAAAAAAAGGACAGAATCATTTTCAATCATTTTTTTCGATTTGATAAAAAAGATTAAAATCTTACTTTGATATTCTTTTAAAAATCAATTATCATTTTTTCAAAACTGATTTTAATAAAAACAGAAATTATACTGTTTATTTAAAATATTTTGAACCAAGCTTAACTTAGCTTCTGAGCCGAAAAAATGTAATTTGAAAATAAAACAAAGCAGGTCATAACCTTTCGCGTCGCTTGACGATTGACGAAAGGCACATTCATGACGTTTAGATAACTTACGGGATGAGAATTCTTTCTACGGATGGAAGGAAGTGAAATTATTTAAGTGAACAAATTATTTACCTTGTTACTTTTAAGGAAAACTTTCAGCGCTCTAATTTTTTTTTTTATTTTTTTTTTTTTTTTTTTTGTACTTAGCTTTCATTTTTACGTTTACGATGGTTTATGGAAAATATAAAGAAATTAAAAAATAAGACTGTTAATAGTGAGATTAAATTTCATAAGAAAAAGGTATCTAATTAATTTAGGTACCTTTCTTATGAAATTTTATCAGAAGTGTACATAAAATACTATAATTTTATGTACATTTATTACATTTTACTGTGTTATTTGTATTTCCATTCATTTTATTATTAATTTTGATATTTCATTTATGGAAAAATGTCATAACTGAGATTAATATAAAAATAAGATCATATGAATTAAAGTTTAGCAGTAGTTAA